ACACAGTGGCATAGCGGACGGGCACGCAGGGCACACACTGTGGTGGGGCCCCGCGATAACCTCCCCGTGCTGAGTTGAGTTGTATCATGTGTCGACGATAGCCAGAGATATGGTCAAAAGCATCAAAAATAGGCAATATTAAGAGGATTTAGCATTTCCTATTAATGTAGGCCTGTTACATTCTTCTTATTATTAGGTCTATTATTATTATTATTAGGGTAGTTTTATTATTGAATTACATGAAATTATTGCCCCACAATAATTTCATAGCGCATCAACGCATGGCGCGCTGTGAGAATAATTAAAGTTTAGGCTATTAGCTTACTCCTCATTGAAAGTGGTTTTTACTTTTTTTTTTTTTTAAACAGGTCTATTAATTTTTATAATGAATTATAGGCCTATAATTAAAATTATTAACATTGCAGTCATCAATGAAAATTAAGAGCAGCTTTTTTTCGTGCACTGATTTTCAAAAACAATCTGCTTAACGCAAAATACGTTTCTTCTCATGTTTTTCACTATACGGGCTATTCACTATATACCGTTATCAGCATATGTTGAAGTAGTTTCGTCTCTCGTTGTCTCAGAGAATATGCGCCGTTAATGCAGCGTTAAAAAGCTCCGTCAGTTTTTTTACTTTCACTTTCTCTATAGTGAATTTACTGACGTTCACCAGCGTAACTCTTGCACACAGTTTGCGCGTTGCTTGCTTGTGTTGCTTGACCCCTCCCCCATAATATCAATTGTTTATAGGCCACATATTAGGCACTTTTTTAGGTTTTTAATGTTTATTTTTCAATGTTAATAAAAGTGACGCCAAAAAACAGGAACATCATTAGGAAATCCTTGGGGGGGGGTTGTGCCGGGGCTAAGCAAGTTTCTGATGGGGCTATAGCCCTGTCAAGTCCTGCCCTAGCGCCACCACTACCCTAAACTAAAGTGTTACTGAGTGTTGCTTTAGCAATTAGCTGAAATAAAGTGAAGTAAGTAAAGAAATTAAGTTGTTTTATATTTTATTTTATTTCAGTTAACGTTTCATTTGAAGTAACACAAAAGTTTTTTTTATGGTTTTAGTTGTTCTTTAACTAGTTGATGGAACACAGTTCTATCAGTAGGATGCAGATGCTAGTTATTACATCAATTAGCTGATTCATATTCATATGGTGATGCTCTTATAGTGACAACGCAAGCTCATAAATCACCCAACAAACAGCATGAAAATCATCCGTGTGGACTTTCCAGGACACCGTGATTTGCCTACAGTGAAATCAGTGCTGTGTGTGTGAGTATAATGGTGTCGTGCTGCAGCTGATTTTCTTTGCTGCTTCTGTCCTCAAATGACTTTGCTGTGTCTCTCACCCCTCCCTCACCCGTCTCTCTCTCTCTCTCTCTCTCTCTCTGTGTAACTGTAGCTGGTCTCTGTGTGTGACATTATAGACGCAGCATTGATTGCTTTTATTACACATACACTGATGCAGCTGCACTTGTTGAGTCCCGACGAGAGACGGACACTCATTAAAGCTTTGTCTCCTGAAACTCAGTGAGCGACTGATGGACTGACAGACAGACAGACAGACAGACAGACAGATGCTGCGTTTCACTTTTTGTTCCTGGAAATGAGCTGCGGTGTTTCCCAAGAGTGGAAGTTCTCTGTGTGTGTGTCATGCCGGCTTATCATTGGGGCTTTAAGTGAGTGTGTGTGTGTGTGTAAGGGTTTATATGGTTTATGAGGACACAAATGTGTATAATGACATGGGATAATAAAAGATTAGGCTATTAGCCTACTCCTCATTGAAAATGTTTTTTAAAAGTTTTTTTTTTTTTTTAAACAGGTCTATTAATTTTTATAATGAATTATAGGCCTATAATTAAAATTATTAACATTGCAGTCATCAATGAAAATTAAGAGCAGCTTTTTTTCGTGCACTGATTTTCAAAAACAATCTGCTTAACGCAAAATACGTTTCTTCTCATGTTTTTCACTATACGGGCTATTCATAAGGGTTTATATGGTTTATGAGGACACAAATGTGTATAATGACATGGGTACTACAACTTAAACATGGTTTATGAGGTTTACACTTACTGTGTCCTATAAAACAAGTGGCTTAAAAAACATACTGAACAGTGTTTTTTTGAAATTCGAAATATGCCAGTGGTTAAGTGTGAGGGGTAGGTTTAGGTGTAGGGTTAGGGAATAGAAAATAGTGAATAGAAGGGAAAGGGGAAAGAAAATATAGTTTGTACAGCATAAAAACCCTGTAAAACACATACACAAGTATGTGTGTGTGTGTGTGTGTGTGTGTGTGTGTATATGTGTGTGTGTTGTGGATGATTAATGAGTGTGTGTGTCTGATCAACGGTCTGAGCTCAAATGTGTTTATCTGTTGTTGAGTGTGATTCAGAGCATCTTTACTGCTGTTTCATTGATTAGGGTTTTCATTGGCTGATGCCGGTATCTCGTGATCAAGGCAAGGCCAATATATCACCCAATATTGGCATTTTGTAATTGTAAGTGTTGGTTGTTAAGTTTTTCTGTTTGGCCGATCAGAGTTGGAAGCAGGACTTTTATTTTGACATTGTTGTGAATGTTAGTGCGCAGGAGCGCTCATTCTCTTTTGAGAGTCTTTAACTCTTCTGTCTGATAATAAAAAGAAAAAGCTTTAATATATTCAGCATATACAGTGGTGGCCAAATTTATTAGAACACTAGTATTTTCACCAGCTAAAAAATGGTTTTAAGTCAGTTATTTCTATCTTTTACTGTAGTGTGTCAGTAGGAAAGATCAGTTTCCAAACAATTATTTTGCCATTAGTTGTAATAATCCAGTGAGATTTTTGTTTGCGCAAGGAGTCTGACAACAGCCAGCGCTCCACACAGAGATCTGATCTGATCTGATCATCATCAGTCTGTCTGGAATGACATGAAGAAACGGAACAAACTGAGACAGACTAAATCCAGAAGAACTGTGGCAACGTCTCCAAGATGCTTCAAGAAACCTACCTGCAAAGCTACAGTACTGTTAAAAGTTTTAGGCACTTGTGTAAAAATGCAGTAAAATCAGGATGCTGTCACAAATAATGTCATAAATAGATTTTCTTTATCAATTAACTTCTATCAACTAAATTAAATCAACATTTGGTGTGAGCATCCTTTGCATTTAAAGCAGCTTTTGCCCTAGGTGCACTTGCGCATAGTTTTTCAGGTAGCTTTGCAGGTAGGTTTCTTGAAGCATCTTGGAGACGTTGCCACAGTTCTTCTGGATTTAGTCTGTCTCAGTTCGTTCTGTTTCTTCATGTCATTCTAGACAGACTGGATGATGATGAGATGATATTACAATTAATGGCAAAATGGTATTTCCTACTGACACACTACAGCAGAAGATAACTGACTTAGGACCCTTTTTTAGCTGGTGAAAATACTAGTGTTCTAATAATTTTGGCCACCACTGTACATGCATACACACACACACGTATATATACACACCCTGTGGTCATAATAGCTTAATATCGGATCTATTCATTCAGGGGTGCGAGTTGTTCTTTGCATGCTCTCTCTTGCTGTATGTATTATATATGTCTTTATTTTTATAGTTCCGGTAATCCGGTTTTGATGTTGATTTTAGTAATGTTGTTTTTTATAATTTTTATTATTTATTTATTTATTTATTTATTTATTTATTTATTTATTTTAATATAGCTTTTAGGAACCTTTAAATTAGTTTATTTTAATACATCATGTTAAATTAAATTAAATTAAATGAAAATGAGAATCAGACTAGTTTAAGTTTTTTTTTTTAAATTGCCTTTTTTATTTATTTTATTTCAGTTAGAATTTATTTTATTTCAAGTCATGAATATGTCTGTGTTTTTTGTTTTTTTTTGGTGGTTTAGTTAACCCTGATCATAATGGCAATATCAGATGTGTTCATGGGTGCATGTCTTCTTCTGTCTGCATGCGCCATTTTCTCTGAATATGGCTGTTTCTCACTCTGTTTCTCGTCTCTGTCCAGATGACCCTCTCACTGGCTCTGTCGACGGTGTGAACGCGGGCCGCCATGTCCCAGATGCTCCACATGGAGATCCCTAACTTTGGCAGCATGGTGCTGGGCTCCCTGAACGAGCAGCGGCTGCAGGGCCAGTACTGCGATGTCTCCATCCTGGTGAAGGGCCAGGCGTTCAAGGCCCACCGCGCTGTGCTGGCCGCCAGCAGCCTGTACTTCCGCGACCTGTTCAGTGGCAGCAGCAAAGCACAGTTCGAGTTGCCGTCCTCCGTCACGCCGGCCTGTTTCCAGCAGATCCTCAGCTTCTGCTACACGGGGAAGCTGACCATGGCCGCCAGCGAGCAGCTGGTTGTGATGTACACAGCCGGATACCTGCAAATCCAGCACATCGTGGAGCGCGGCATGGACCTGATGTTCAAAGCCAACTCGCCGCACTGCGACTCGGCCACAGCAGCCATGGACGAGCCCAACTCGGGCCCGCAGAGTCCCAGCACCCACCCGCTGGTGCCAGCCGGCTGGTCACCCTCGCTGCCATCGCAGGCCCGCAGGATCAAGCTGGAGGAGCCGCTGGCCAAACGAGCTAGCGACGGGACACGTTTGGCACGGGCCGCACTCCTGTTCTCGGTGGGGGCGTTTCCGCCCGGGGCTCCGGCGTATCTGGGAGAGCGTTCCAGTCCGGGAGCGTCCAGCCTCCCGACCACTGACAGCCCCACGTCTTACCAGAATGAAGACGAGGAGTTTGAGGAAGAGCCGTTCGATGCAGACGAGACTTACAGCCAGCTGTGCGGCCGCTCGGCCAACCCTTACGGAAGTACGGCAGCTTCTTCTTCTGTCCGACTCTCGTCTGCTGTTGATTGTGTGTCATTTCTGATGGTTTGAATGACAGGCAAATGTTATATGAGGTTACTTTGGTTTAGAGATGGATTGCTCAGCATGTGGCAGATGGTTTGAAAAGTGATAATGTTCCAGTTAAAAACTGGCTGACAGGAGGGGAAGTTTAATGTTTCATGAATTCTGCCTTTTGATAACCTGCATCGTTCTCATTCAGAGTTGGAAGAGTTTTAATTACAGTACTATATATGATCTTGATACAGTGTACACATTGTCTTATAATGTTTTGGGGGGAATACTTTGATGTCTGCTTTTGAGATGAATTTATTTTACAATAATTGATTTTACTTTAGATTAATTGATTTTACTTTAGTGGGGTTTTTAAAAAAATGTATTTAAATTTTTTACATTTAATTTTTTCTATGTGCTGTTCAAAGGTTTGGGGTTGATTATTTATATATATATATATATATATATATATATATATATTAGATAGAAATTAATGCTTTTATTCATCAAGGATGCATTAAATTGATCAAAAGTGACAGTAGAGACATTTATAATGTTACAAAAGATTTCTATTTCAAATAGATGCTGTTCTTTTGAAATTTCTATTCATCAAAGAATACTGAAAAATTAAATGCATCACGGTTTCCAAAAAATATTTGGTAGCACAACTGTTTTCAGAAATGTTTTTTGAGCAGCAAATCAGCATATTAGAATGATTTCTGAAGAATCATGTGACACTGAAGCCTGGAGTAATGATGCTGAAAATTTAGCTTTGATCACAGCAATAAATTACATTTATATTCACATAGAAAACAGTTATTTAAATTATAAATACTGCCTTGGTGAACAGAAGAAACTTCTTTCACAAACATTGATCCTACCAACCCCAAACTTTTGAATGGTAGTAAATGTAATGAGTAACCGTGCCCACTAGTAATGGAATAATGAATATATTACACTGGGATCATATCATATCATTCACTAGTAAACCAGAGGTTGCTTCTGTTGCTGTTAAATAGGTTACAGGCTCGTTACTTTGGGTCAGCATGTGAAGATGTCTAGACAATTTTAAAAGCCAAAAGTAAAACTAATACACCTAATTATATTTCAGGATGTCTTTTGCAGTGGGTTGTAGGGGCCAGTTCAGATTTTCAGTCACATTTCATCACTAAGCTTATAAGCAATTCATTACAACAACTGTCAGAATTGTTAGTGAGCTGTTAAAAAAAAATAATCTGTTGTGAGACATAAAATAGGCAGCAAAGAAACACGCGTGAGCAGAAGTGTGAACATTGGGCGGTTCATGATGTCTGTTTAACTGTGATATCAGAGACATGTGCTAAAGATAACCTGATGAATTATTACATTGTGGCTTTCTCCAGAACACACTCAGTCAAAAGCATGTAGTGAAATGTAATATTTCTATAGTTGGATGGTAATTCTCAGGACATAGTGCTAGTAAATCAGTCATCATAATTAAAAATGTATTAATAACCCATTTTATGTAAAAAAAATTGACTGACACTGTTACATTTAAAATGTTACAGGATTAAAGATAACGGCAAAAATTAATAATAATGGCCCCAATTAGCAAATGTTACTCCAAATACAGTTTTCACATACTTTGTATGGAACCTTGTTTTTGCCATGGGATAAAAACAAACATTTTTATCTCACCATTCTGACTTTTTTTTGTCTAGCAATTCTAAGTTTGTATCTCACAATTCTTTTTTATCAGAATTGCATGATATAAACTCACAATTCTGAGAAAAAAAAGTAAAAGTTGGGAGATATAAAGTCCCAATTAAAAACAGATTTGTGAGATATAAACTCAGAATTGTGAGGAAAAAGTCAGAATTCTGAGTTTTTTTCTCAAAATGACCCATTTAAATTTCTCAATTCTTTTTTCTCTCTGAATTTTAAGTTAACACCTCACAATTCTGAACTGTGATTTGAGGAAAACACTCTCAATTGCTTCCACGACTTCATGCCAAGATCTGTCATTTTCAGTAAAAATGTTTTCCCATAGCTATGTTGAAATATTAAGCTCCGAGGCCAATATAAATGTGTTAAAAAAAATGTGACAAAAATTAAGATGGCTCTCACTCAAATGTGAAATTATGAAATACCACAGCATTAATTCAGGAGTTTTTTCTAGTAAGTGCAGGGCATTTTTGAGGAAAAGGAACATTTTAATATCAGTAAAAGCTTAATTTAGGTATAATTCTTTGTGTAACACATGCAAATTGGCTGCATCTGTCTAATGATATTCCAATGGAAAAACACCAACTTTCTGTTGCAACAGTTGTTATGCTAATGTAAGTTGATTTTGGTGTTTATTTAATCAGTAGTATGTCATGGAGACACACTTGAGCGTTTCATGAGAAAGTGCCTGAGGTTAATGAGTCAGAGTTTGAAGAAAGTGCAGCTGAAAGGTCAAATTCAGAGTGAAATGCTGTTGGATATGAGCATGCCTCCATGTTGAGTAACACGCTGATCTTTTGTCTGCTGTGTTATTGGAGTTCCTGTCTTGATTTGTCCCATATGTTTGGTAACTATACAGAACTATCCTGACTAGAAATGGACGTGTCCCTCTGCAGTGACACTCACTGTAGCTCTCGCCCGGCGCTCGGGTGTCACAGATCGTGAAATGCATTCAGTCTGTAATCAGTCACCGCTCTAGAGGGTCACATTGTGGGTTATTTGAGAGCTCACACATCTTTTGTGTGTGTGAGACTGAAGGACAAATGGGAAGCAGAACTTTTCTATTAGTCGTGCCAGTGCAGAGCTTTATTGACTTGAAGCAATTCAATGCGTCAAATAAGTGAAGAGCAGGCACTTCCCCTGATAAGAGTCACTGTAAAAATGTCCACCTAATTCAACTTAACTTACATTTTAAGTAGCAAATTGGCTGTACAAGTCATTCAGAATATAGATATGAATAAAACTCTTTAAGTTTTGGTGTAAGTGCTGCTGAAGTGGAGAAACCAACTTTTGAATTGATATGGATATGAATTGGAAATTAAATCTACAGACACATGTAGATAAAGTGCAATAAAATAAACACTTAAATGTGTATTTCAGTTTTCTTGAAAGTTGCAGTAGTTTGAAACAACACTTTATGAAAAGCCAAATAGCCCAAAATCTCAAAATTGACAGATGCATGAAAAAATTTTGGCCTGTAGTGACTCGCCTTAAAAATTAAGTTGAAATTGGTTAAATGATTTTGATGAGTTAAAGTAAATAGATTATATTGAGTGTATGCATATTTTTTTTACTATGTGCAGAACTTATAAGCATCTGTTTAGATCTGTTTAGATGGACTAAAAATGGTGTCGAGTTCTCAAACGTATTGATTTCACTGCATGATTTGTCGTAGGGCTGCACGATTATGACAAAAATCATAATTGTCGATTATTCCCTTGAAATTTTAATTGCGATTATTAATTGCAATTATCGCAATTTACATTGAATGATGTTTATACCATTGTTTGATGCAACTGCATGCCGTATTTTCATATGAAAATAAAAAAGCTGAAAACACTCTTAACTGAAAAACTTTTAGTGCTTTTCTATAGTATTAAGCCTCAAATGTCAACTATACATCAGATTGGTTTCTTCTTTAAATTATAAAAAAGTAAAAAATATGAATTGTATTATAATGTTATACTAAAACTAAAATTAAAATAATGAGAAAAACCATTAAGATAACATGTAGAAAGAAAAAAATGCATCTTAAGCATGCAGAATAACATAAGTGGACTTTGAAACGATTAATTGCCGCTTTGAACGATTACGTAATTGTTGCATCCATAATTGTTATCACGATTAGAAATTAGACTAATTGTGCAGCCCTAATTTGTCGTGATCTGAGGCCGTATCAGAGGTTCTGAATGTTATCGGGACTCTTGTCTCTTTCAGTGGCAGAGAAGCCGGAGATGGCAGTCATGCCGGTGTCGCTGGAGAACCGCTCGTGTGTGCTGATCCGCAGAGATCTGGTGGCTCTGCCCGCTAGTCTCATCAGTCAGATCGGCTACCGATGCCATCCCAAACTCTACACCGAGGGAGACCCCGGAGAGAAACTGGAACTGGTGGCAGGTTGGTGAAATCACTCAATCAACCCTATATGAAAGTTAACAAAAATGAGACTATATCATGAAGACATTGAAGGAACACAACCGAAGCTCATTATCCAATGTAGAAGATCATAATGAATGATTTTGCCTCTTGTTACTAGTAAAGCCCTTGCGATGTAAGTCTTAACAGGCAGAAATGTTAAAAATGTTTATTCAAAAATGTTCACTCAAAACCATCGCTGAAAGTATAACTCCTGATCATTAAACCTTTTAACTTGTGTGATAGAAAACAAATTGGTTTATAGGATTTACTTTGAAACCTTTTCTGAGTGAAAACTATTTCAAAGTAAATTATAGTAAATTTCACAAATAATTACAAAGAAACAGCAAGTAACATTGAATTAAATGTGAATTTTGAATTAGAAAGACTGAAGTAGTATTTTCTTGTAAAATTACAAATACTTGAATAATCTTTGTTTTATTGACAACTTCAAAATTGTTTTTTACAATGTATCAACCTGAAGCAGATCATCCACCTTGAAAACTATAGTCTGACTGCTTAGAGAAAGATGGACACACTTTACCACTCCAGCAGAATTAATGAAATCTATGTAATGTATCTACAAAAAGTCACATTTTCTTGAGGTTATACCATTTTACAACCAAAATGAACCTTGCCATTTCATAAAAACTTCAGATTACATTTTTCAGAGACTTGCAGACTGTCAGCCTAGCGGACAGAAAACATCCAAAATACATTTAAGTGTTTATTTTATTGCAATTTCAATCCATATCTTTAAAGAGGTTTTTTTCTATAACATACACCAAATGTTAGTTTTATTCCTATCTATACTCTGAAGGTTTTTTACTGAGGGGTTTGTTCATAAATCATTCACGCTGATTTATACAACATTTTACTCCTTAAAACATGGTGAAAATGTATTTGTTTTCTGTCTGTTGACAGTATTTTCTGATTTATGGAGTGATAAAAAGAGAAATCCAAAATCCCCCGTGGAAACACTTTTAACTCTAATATATGACAACAAAAAGAACAAGAACTATTAATATGGCTTTATATAATGTTCAGATTTATGTGCTGGAAATGTGTGCTGATTAATGCATATTTAATTAGATAGTGCCTAATTTGCATATTTAAACAAAACATTTCAGAAATCTTTGAAATGTCTTTTTTACCTTGTTCACCTGTGCTATCTGTCTTGCCACAGATGTTGTTCATGCACTGGAGCTGATTACTGTCCCATCTCTCTGTGTTGTTCAGGCACAGGTGTGTTCATGACCAGAGGTCAGCTGATGAACTGTCATCTGTGTGCTGGTGTCAAACACAAGGTGCTGCTGCGCAGGCTCCTCGCCACCTTCTTTGACAGGTGTGTGACCTCACATCAAATCACCGCTGTCTGCAGGGGTGTAACGGTACATGTATTTGTATGTCTCATTCGCTTTGACATGCATGTGTGTACTGAACGAATCCAGCATTTAACCTCTGCACATGGATGGAATGATAGACTATATCGCTATACTTTGATGTTGTGGACTCAGAGCTGCTGTTAGGAAACCACAGGATCCAAGTTGTTATCATAAGCTTACAGTTTAAAGCGGTTTGTTCTCCTGCCAGATGCATGTGCTCTGACAGTCAGGGCCGGCACGTGCATATAGGCGAACTAGGCAGGGCGGCAAAAAGGACAGAGATTTTAGTTTATCTTTTGGGTATTCTTTGGAATTATTGCACTCATATCAACGAGTTATCACCCCTTAGTTATTCTAACTCTAAATTAACTTAGCTTCATAGTAATGCCGCTCCCGCGCTGTGCCCCACCTGAACGGCGTCAATATCACATGCAAACCACCCTCATGTTCTTCAAAATGAATAAAACTAGCCGGACATGAATGACTTTTGCTACTGGTGATGTCTGATGAGTTTTAAAGCCCGACACGTGCTTCTGAAAGGTAAGATTATAGCCTACTGTGAGAGAAAACGTGAGGGAGACACAGGTGGATACATCCACGTACATCCAAAAAAAAACACGGTTTTGGACCAAAACCATATTTTGTTTTTTTAGCCAGGTAGCCTATATTTAGCCTTTATAATTTATAACGCTCCGGCAAGTGATCAGAGGATGTAGAGGTAATGGAGCATTCGCGCAATCATTTAGTGGACCCACTTAAGTGATTACCAGCTTGCATCAGTTGCTTTTATAGTATGCACATATACTCTAAAAATCATGGTTATTTTATTGCAACATTTTTTTTGTGTTTGGGTAGTTTTTGTGTAACCCAGCTCCTGGGACAGGAGAGTCGCAACAACCCAGTGTTTGTAATGAGCGCAGATATTTTGCATTCTCTTAAGGTGAGAGTATTCTCAGTGCGCGGACTTGCATTTCTTTGGTCAAATATATAGGTTTGTGTATGTTTTATTTAATCTATAAAACAGTTTCTTTGCTGTAAATCATTTTATTTTATGCAAAGCAAACCAAGTCACCTAAACAAGCCGCATCAGTCTTTTTGCTACGATTAAATGTTTCATTTTTTCTTCTAAAATGCTTGTTAAACGAGTTTAAATGTAAGAAATGTTGTATACATGTTTAAACAGTAAAATATGTTGTATTAAGAACTGTATTTTACTAAAAGGCATTTAGAGAAAGAAAGAAAGATCAAAAAAATATCAAAATAAATGAAAAACTAAAACGAAACGATACCAACAGCAGTTATTGAACACCTAACTAATAATAATAATCAATAAATAATCGTTTTCTAATCAATCTCAGCATGCTTTAATTTTTTGTCGCTAGAGGTTTGCGTCAATAAGCTTAAATTAAAATGTCTTTGGTCTGCGCTCTGGAAGTGTTCTGTTAATTCTGCTAAACTTTAATTACTAAAACTAAAATTAAAACTGAAACTAAACTGTATAAAAACTAAATAGGCTATAAATCTGTTCACAAAATAAAAACTAAACTAAAATTAACCAAATTATTAATAAAACTAATAAAAAAAATTGAAAGCGATATTAAAATAAAAACGAATTTAAAAATGCAAAACTATAATAACCCTGACAAGAACATCTTTCATTGGTGTGTGAGGAGGGGGATCCGCCAAATGAGGTTATCGGAATTCGGAGGTGCTGGACCCTGACCCAGCTTGTTCAAATTACACCCTGACTACGAATAGGGATTTCAGCTGTACGAGCACGGCTTGAACAGATTTCTATGTCTCTTAGTGAAAATGAAGTACAGAGACTTGTGCTTTCCGTGTCCTGAACAACGTTTGTCGAGCTGCTTACCGGGAATTCTCCCAAATCTTCCCATGGCCACTTCAGGCCTGTACATACACTTAATTTGCTTTTGCAGCTATAGTGGTTATTTTTTATTAATTTACTTTTTTACGTTGCAGTAGGAAAAAAATATAATAATCAGAAAACACGCCCGTGTCTGCTTTATTTTAATGCAGTTGTACCAATAAACAAAATCTCCAGTCTTTCACATGCATCTTAAAGATCGTGTTTAATTGTGAATGTGAAGTGGGGGCGGCACGGTAGGGTTTACCTAGAGCGGCAGTTGAGCTCGCGCCGGACCTGCTGACAGTAAATGAGTCTCTGTTAAACCAAAGCCGCTTTAAGCCTCCAAGGTTAGCAAAAAAGTGTAAAGGAAGGAGACCTGAGGCTGGTGTTTGAAGAAGCACTTTTATGTTGCATTTTTCCATGTGCTGCACTGAAAACGTACCGAACCATGACTTCAAACATGAGTTATGTACCAAACCATCATATTGTGTAGCGTTACACTATGGAGCTAATTTTGTGCCAATATTCATCAAACAAATCCAGCGTTTTGCAAATAAAGACAAACTGCTTTGATTTTTGATTTTCTCACAAATGCAATTGAGCAACTTCCTACAGTCGAGCCTACAACATTTCTCTCCACTGTAGACTATGTCTCAACATATATAGCAGAATGAAACATTGTAGTAGGGTCGCTTTGTGAAAACATCTAAATGGTTAATTATAGATAAGGCAGAAATTCACCTGTTCCCCACTCATGTTGGTCTGCTGTACTCCCTGAAAAGGTTGTCAGTGTCAGATAAGTTTTTTCGGGTCTCGGGAGACTAGCGTAAATTGACCGACAGCGCCATCTGCTGTTTTTGGAAAGGGAAGTTGCTCAATTGCATTTGTGAGAAAATCAAGCCAAGTTTCCTCATAAAAAGGCAAATGAGTCTCACAGTTGTAACACACAATAAATATATTTGTCCATACCTCTGCATTTTCTCTCAAATAGAGTTTTGTATTTGCAAATCACTTTGCATTTGTTTGAAAGTCGAGTTTTTCTTTGCAAAGCAGATTGTATTTATTTGCAAAACGGTGGATTTGTTTGATGAATATTGGCACAAAATTTGCTCCATATTACTCGCTCCAGTTATGTGCAGTTGAGATATTGAGATATTGAGTGTTTTGGTCTCATGGCTTTGCTTTCCACTGCACCCTCTGCTGGCTGCTTGTGAAACCTGCAGGAACACGTTAGCAAACAGCTGTGGAACGGGGATCCGATCGTCAACCAGCGACCCCAGCAGAAAACCACTGGACAGTCGAGTCCTGAACGCTGTCAAACGTACGTTACGCTCTATATAATCATTAGTGATGTTCAAATCAACATTCATTACTCCACCCTGCATCACGTCTGCTGTATGAAATCCAATATTTCATCCAAAAATAGTGTCTGTTTTGGTGAAGCATGTCACACTCTTTACTAAATATAATGCATTTCGTAGCATTTTTGCTTTTGACAGCCAAGTAAGGTGAAGAAGTCTTATATTATCTGTTAATCAGCAGAAAACACATGATTCCTGTCTTCCTCTGAGCTAGATTACAGCTATTAGTTCAATTCTCAGCCCATTTTCACAAAAAATCACAGATTATGTGAAAAAGCTTATTTATTTATAAATTTATATCTAAGTTTCTTTGACATTCAGTACATTTAACGTATATTCCACTCCTCTGCAGTTTGTAAGTTAAACGAATACTTCTTTTTGTCATGTCAAAACTTCTGACATTTGTCATTTAAAGTCATTAAAGCTGTTACATACTCTACCAGTCAAAAGTTTTTGAACAGTAAGATTTTTAATGTTTTTAAAGAAGTCTCTTCTGCTCACCAAGCCTGCATTTATTTGATCCAAAGTACAGCAAAAACAGTACAATTTTGAAATATTTTTAAAATAACAGTTTTCTTTTTAAATATATTTTAAAATGTAATTTACTCCTGATTTCAAAGCTAAATTTTTAGCATCATTACTCCAGTCACATGATCCTTCAGAAATCATTCTTAATATTCTGATTTACTGCTCAAAAAAACTATTATTATTATTATTATTTTGTGGAAAACAGCTGAGTATAATTTTTTCAGGTTTTTTCTGTCTTTATCATAATTTTTTTATCAATTTAAAGCATCCTTGCTAAAAAAAAAAAGTTCCCCCAAAAAAATAAAAATTATACTGACTCCAATCTTTTCAATGGTATAGTGTATAATGTTACAAAAGCTATTTATTTCACATAAATGCTGATCGTTGGATCTTTCTGTTCATCAAAGAATCCTGAAACAATGTACTCAACTGTTTTAAATATTAATAATAATAATAATAAATGTTTCTTGAACAACAAATCAGAATATTAGAATGATTTCTGAAGGATTATGTGACACTTACATTTCAAAATATATTCAAATAGAAAGCAGTTATTTTAAATAGTAAAAACATTTCACAATATTACTGCTTTTGCTGTATTTTGGATAAAATAAATGCAGGCTTGGTGAGCAGAAGATAATTTCTAAAAAAACATTAAAAATCTTACTGTTCAAAAACTTTTGACTGGTAGTGTATATAATTTGAAAAAATATTCTCTGTTATTTTGTGAAAAGTCTGTACATGATGGAAATATTTTATTGATATTTTTGAACTCAGCATTATCAAATTAGGTAATACAAGCCATGTTTGCAACTCAGCAAAAAACTTCTCAGGATGCAGGGCTGTGTAATCATGCAGAATGTGAATTCATCATTAACTGTTAATTGCTCACTAGTCATGCAGCTTTAGTTTCCTTCTCATTCAAGCTCTTAATAATGCACTCTTTTTTTCTAGTTTACTGTCAGAACTTCGCGCCCAACTTTAAGGAAAGCGAGATGAACGTCATCGCCGCTGACATGTGCACCAACGCGCGGCGCGTGCGGAAGCGCTGGCTTCCCAAGATCCAGTCCATGCTGCCGGACGGGATGGAGGTTTATCAGGGCTCGTCGGTGGCGGCAGGCGTCAGTCTGGGCATCGGTGGCCTCCCGGTGGGCGTTCAGCTGCCCTTTGAGACAGACTTTAAGAACCTGCTTCCCTCAGGCCTGAGCCTCTACGCCGAGCGCAAGGAAGCCGCGAGAACTCATTTACCACTGGATGGCGACGGCCCCGATCTCCCACGGGACGGAGGCGAGGAGGAGACGCAGGCCAAGGATGAAGAGGCCCAGACTGACAGCGCAGATGGGACGTTGGGGGCGGGGCCTGTCAAACCCAGAGCTGAGGGCGGGGCCACTGTGGCCATACCTCCTGAGAGGCAGCAGGAGGAGGACTTTGTGGACGGCCTGAGAATAAATGGGCAGTGAGACTGGAGAAAACGGCCTTCAGTTCATATCTACTATGTGAATAAACGCTGAAGGGAGGAATCAAACACACACAGGCATCACTCGTGAAGAACACACAACCTTATTCATGTGCATTTGACTTTCCTCAAACACTGGATTTGGCAGGATGTTCATCATGTGCTCCAGAGAGCAGAAGTCACGGGTCGTGGGAGGAAATCATGCCAGTGACACAGCGGCTGGCCTTCATTGTGAAACATTATATTACGTTTAGAATTATATTACGTTTGTTCTTGAGATCACTTTGCCATAAGTGCAGCAGTGAATCTCACTAAAACATGACCAGATCACTTTACACCCCAAAATCAAGAGGAAAAACAATAAAGATGAAGCTTTTACAAGAACCATTAACATTCATATCAGTAGCTATGTTTACATGCATCCAAAAAATCAGTTTATAATAATAATTGATAGCTAAATTGGATTGATTGCTGTCAATCCAAAAGTGAAATAATACAATCAACAAGATAAATGTAAGTATGAAACACTTGAGGAGACTATTTTCTTAATTAGATTCAGTAATAGCATGCATAACATGCAACGTTTACGTGTTTTACTTTATATGACTTACATCTTAAGGACTGGTCAGTGGATGAGACTGAATATTCACTAAACATTTGCTAACAATGAAAAAATAAAAAAGTTCTTCTGACACAAATAGCACATGTCATCATGTGAATGGCGTTTAGGGAACAGAATCTGAAACCAGATTGGATTCGTTTGGGTGATGAAAATTAGTGCATGTAAATTTGTGCCATTATTTGTGTGACAGTTAAGCCCCATTAAAATATTTATATTAATCTAAAATAATAATATAAAATATATGAATAAATGCACAAATAAACAGTTTGGAATTAATGTGTAACTATTATATGTATTTAGTTTTGTTTTTATGTTAATTTTTAGAGTAATGTATTAGAATCATTGATTAATGCAGTGAATTTTTTAATTGATTTTTATTTTTTGATAATGAGAATTTGAAATCAATTATTTTATTTTGCAACCGTAATGGTCCCAAATGTATTTTTGTGTGATCTGGGCATGTTTTTTGTGAGATTCATTTACTATCTAGAGAATTGGCTGCGTTTAGAGCATTTGAAGCTGAAATTATGCATTTCATAGTGACATTTCATGTTCAGTTTTTAGTGCAGTAGATCTGATAGCTTGTTTAGAATAGTTCCATCATCTTCACGCATTTAACTGGTACGTGAGTGATCGTCCCTTCAGAAGAGCGATGCCTGCGTGTGTTTGACCTGATCTGAACGCTGACATCACGCTCACATGACCAACCGACAAACAGATAGCATCAGACATTTCGCCAATCTTACGATACAAACGCACGCTGACGCTGCTAGAATGAGCGCTCACTTCCACTGCTTGCATGCCAGATCACATACAACTTTACAGCCTCGATTATAATCTGCATCCCCGAAAAACAAACAAAACTGCTACGGTTTATGTAAGGACTGTTTGTCAGACAAAGAAGTGATCAATTTTCCTGAATGAAATAGTCAGCCGGCCGGGTTTTCACGGTGTGTTGCTGTCTGGAATTGAAGCAGTGGGGTTGTTCTGTACTGTAAACTGTTTGATAATTCTAGCTGGCTTCATTACATTTGCACTTGACGAGTTTAAGGAGGTGGTGGAGAGCAGCTGCGTGGTTCGACTGCAGCTGCTGAAGACTGTTTGTGAGCGGCACTAAGAGCGATGTCCGTGTCTCTGAGTGATTCTGTTCACTCCTCACGTAGGTTTTGCTTTATGTGCGAAGCGTTTTCTGTTCCTTATATGTTTCTGACACATGCACTAGTCTAGAAGACAATAACAAAACGAACCCTCCCCATGCTTCAGCATCTTAAAGGTGACACAAATCGGATTTGTTTTAGGGCTGCACTAACGCAAAGGCGATAAATCGCGATTAGGCAGAAGCTACGATTGTCATGCGTATCTTTCAGTGAAGCACGATTCTGTGATCAGTAGTAAATCTCCATCCGAAGGCCAGAGGGCGCTCTCGCGAGAAAACTCCAAATACGCCTCTCAGAAGAAACCCAGGAAATCCCTGTCCACCTTTTTCTTCAACGCGGAAGTAAGCCTATGGGCGAGACTTCCGATTCATTAGGCGCTATAGGGAAATAACGAGAAGAATAACAACGTGCAGTAAACGTTAAAACTGTTTGCACTACAAACCAGTGTGTTCATAATTAAGATAATACATTAAAATAATATGGTAAGACACACCCATTTTCAATATCAAGCAGCAAAACGAACTGTTTTGTGCATCTAAAAATAGCTGGAGGCATATGAGACCAGAATTACAAATGGCCGCGCCCATTTTTACGGCAAGAAAAAGGTGGATAGCGGTTGCTGAATAAACAGAAGATTTGACTGGTTTCATTAATTCAATGTGACTAATAAACACACGACTATGACAATATATGGTTTATCTGAGTTCGTCTTATTATAATTTTTATTATAATAAAGTATATAATAATGCAATGCTAATCGACATAGCCTTATCACTGCTTAGAATACTTTGAAATATGTTGTGTGCCTTATTCTGTGTAATAAGCCACATCATCTCACAGAAGGATTTATTTCAAACACTCTACTGACATTATGAAGTTTGGAGTAAAAAAATGTTAGTAAATGGTATTTTCACCTACGGCTCTGTGTAGTAAATGCTGCTCCATCTGAAAGCACGTGATGGAGATTTACTACTAATCACAGAAGATTTTACTGACAAGATGCGCATGACAATCGCATGTGATTAATCATGCAGCCCTAAATTTTGTTTACTCAAGAACGAGTGTTTTGCCCAACATGTACAGTAATTTTTCCACACTATGGGTGATGAACAACACACCCACATACACCCTGAAATCATCTCGAAATTATCTCTGGCCATATGAATTTCAAGTGGGGTTGGAATACACTTGATATTTGTGTTTTCTTCATGAGAAATCTAATTTCTTTGATTTTGGGGAGAAATATGAATGTTCTTTTTGAGATTAATGACAAAATGTCATATTATCTCTGAAGCTTTAAAGAGCGTTGTGTATTTGTCATGCTTTTAATACTGTAGTTATCAGAATCTCCAGGTATGTTGATTTTTTTCAGAAATTCATCTTCAATCGTGATGTTAAGATCTACTGATTTGATGCACAAGGGTTTATTTTGCACTGTCGGTTGTTGTGTGTTAAAGTGCCTCATCAGTGCCGTTGATTGACAGCTGTCATGATTCTGATCAACACTGACAAAGACTAAACTAAGGACATATTTGTGCTTTTCTGTGAGAATCTTGAAGATTTGGTGTATCTTTCTTGTGGGGAGTTCAAAACTTCATCTTCACCCTCTTCTCCTGTTTTATTATTAGTAGCCTGAGCATTTTATTCAAGCTTGAGTCAGTTAGAAAGATGCCCGTCTCATATCTTAATGAGAAGGATTAATGGCCTTGATTTTGTTGAGGTTGAAGAACTTGTGCCTTATTGTGACTACTGATACCATCATAACTCTTCAATTCAGAATGTTTTTAGTGCGATGGAAATAATGATTTGTGAACACTGTGGGAAATTATGCAAATTACTGAATGTTCATCACAGCTGTTGGTTTGTCATGTTAAAAACAGCTCAACACACCTGAAGATTCTGAACAGAACTGACAGATGGCTCGTACGGTATGATTAATGCCGTTCGAGTTCATATTTATGTAGTCTGTGACTATTTAGAGCGATAGCAATAGGTTTCTAAAGGTAGAAATAGTCGGCTGGCTGCCACTAAAATGTGCTGGAACTAACATGATCACTAAGGCCAGTCTTACACTAGTATTTTTATGCACGTCTTTTATATACGTAATTATTTACCCAGAAGCCCCTGTATCTGTATGCCAATCTCCCAAGTATCTTGTCTCCATTTTCCAGCTTTATTTTTGAAGCGAAGTGGCTCTGAATTCATGCACTAGATAACGTGGATCCTTTACCAACTTGTAGAGCGCAAAGATGTTTGTTGCAGCTGTTCAAATGTATGTAATGTGCTAATTTATAGATTTCTGTCGGTACAGTAGCGTAGAAGCTCCTTCAGTAAGGCTGAGCGTTTTCCGAATATCCAAATATTCCGAGGTTTTGCTCGTGCGTGTGAGAATGAGACGAGTGTTTGTGAAGGAACATCTGTGCATGATGAAATGCAAACTCTGTCAAACAGAACATATTAATAACTTTAGTAACATATTCACAGATTGCAGTGGTCCAGAATTTCATCATTTGGCTCTTGCCACATTACAAATAACCTATCACAGTAATGGCCAATGAATGTAACAGAAACAGCTGTTTCCAGGTGTTCATCCTATCAGAAAGTGCAATGCTAATGTCTCTGCCCTTCATCTTCTTTATGCGAATGATAATTTCTTGTTTTATTCTTTTGATTTTGGAGTTAAAACACCCCGAGGATTCAGCACAGTGTTTTAGCGTAATTGCATATTTCTCTGTAGGTAGCTATGCTGTGCAGCCGAATGACTTTGTTTAATTATTCAGATTAATATGCACATTAATGATCTGCCTATAACTGCATGCTGTTTCTCCACAGATCGATCCGATGAGCAGTTCTCGTGGAACTCGTGTCCCGTCTGCACTACTTACGTGTGTGTTTCTTCTTGTAGTAAATAATGGCAGCACTTTAACGTTTGTGTGAAGGTTGGTGGAATTCAGTGGGAGCCGCTAAACCTCGAGCTCCGAGCGCCGACAATCAGAGGGAGAAGGTGTTTGAGGATCTTTGACTCAAACATTGAAGTACTAATAGCTGAGCTTTGCCTATAGCATAGCATCGCCACGACGCGCTTTCATGCAAGTTCCTTATGAAAGTTTATAATGAACCATTAAACTGCTTTTTTATTCAAATAAGAAACAATTATGTCTACTGCAACATGTCACTGTCATTGTCACAAATAAAATCTCTTTCATTCCCAGTGTCTTTGGTGTGCAAGTGTGACCATCATTTCTTGTTTGCTGAAAATCCTTCAGCTAATTTGGCGTTCAAGAAATTGCTTATGAATCTCTCATTATCCTATTTTTGTCAGCTTGTTTTTGTTCATTTAGCACAGGTTTTGTGTTTCCTTTTGGAGTTGATTAATCTCATTGATCTGAGCTTATGCACCTCAGTTCTTGAGTGAAAAAAAGCATTATTTGTGGATAATTTTGGCTGAGGTTTAAGCTAAAATTAATGAGGCCTGTGATGCAAGCAGCTCCAAAGTTGAAACAAAGATTGAATCAATGTATTTGGTTATAGTAGGCTATAGCATTATCGATCTATCTACATTGCCACTAATATTGGCACCCCTGGTAAATATGAGCAAAGGTGAATGGGAAAAAATAAATCAGCATTGTCTATCCTTTTGATCTTTTATTCAAAAAATTCACAAAATTCTAACCTTGCATTGAAGTAAAACAATGGAAAATGTGTGAAAATCTCATTATGAAATACATGTTTTTCTGTAGTTCACGTTGGCCACAATTATTGGCACCCAATTATTGCAACGTCCTTTTCCCAAGATAACAGCTCTGAGTTTTCTCCTATAGTGCCTGAAGAGTTTGGAGAACACCTGACAAGAGATCAGAGATCATTCCCTCATAAAGAATCCCTTCAGATTCCCATCTCCATGTTGATGGTGCTTCTCTTTAGTTCACCCCACTCATTTTCTATAGGGTTCAGGTCAGAGAACTGGGACAGTTCTGGTAAAAGCTTCATTTTGTGATTAGTGACACATTTTTGTGTTGATTTTGATGTTTGTTTTGGATCATTGTCCTGGTGAAAGATCCAACCAGCCTATTATAAGATTTCTAAAAGAGACAGTCAAGTTTAGATTTTATCTGTTGGTATTTGCTAAAATCCATGATTCCATGTATCTGAACAAGATGTCCAGGACCTCTGGCAGAAAATAGGCCCACAACATTAAAGATACATCAGTGGGCATGGGGTACTTTTTGTCCCTGTTTGCACCAAACCCATCTGGTGGGTTTGCTGCCAAAAAGCTCTTTTTTTGTGTGTTTCGTCTGACCATAGAAGCCAGTGCTATTTGAAGATCCAGTCGTGTCTGACAGCTGAATAGGCTGGAGATTGTTTTTGGATGAGTGAAGAAGATTTTTCTTGAAACCCTCCTGAACAACATTGTGATGTAAGGGCTGTTATATATTTTTTAGGCTTTCTGACTCCACGACTCAACTAATCTCTGTAACTTTCCAGCTGTGATCCTTGGAGAGTTTTTGGCCACTCAAACTCTCCTCATTACCGTGAATTAGGATGATATAGACACACCTCCTCTTTCTTCCAGGCAGATTTGTATCGTCTTTAGTTGATTGGAACTTCTTCATTATTGCTCTGATGGTGTAAAATGGGGATTTTCAATGCTTTAGCTATTTTCTTACAGCCACTTTAAAAAAAAATGTAAATATGAATGGGAATATACTTCTAGGGGTGCCGATAATTGTGGCCAACATGCAATTTTTAAAAAGTTGTTATATACTGTCAAAAACAAATCCAACTTGAGAAAAGTTATTCTAATGTAAAGAATTTTTAGTAGGAGGCGTCAGTTTATTATTTTGTGTGAACTAAACAAGAGTACTCTAGACATGCTAGCAAAAGAGTTATCTAAACAAATCATTTTACTTTGAACAATATTGAGCAAGTTCCCGGCATGCACTGCAGCTTGAAAACATGTTGTGGTAATTATTATTAAAATATTATCATTGTTTGACATTTTACTAGCTTAATTTATGCTGCTGCTGGTGTTGTCACTGTCAGCTGTCATATGGATCAGTTAGTTCATATTTTACTGAATTAACATTTGTTGATCCTCACCAAGTTTGAGAATCATGTGTTGAGGAATGTGCATCTCATTGCATCTTGTGATTTAAACCATTTGTCTATCAGCATGTTTACAATTATATAAGAAAGAAGATCGCTAAAGATGTGTAGTATTGATAATTATTAAATCATTTTTAGTTGATGTGACAGATGTTTTACAATTCAATATAGACTGCCTTTTATTTATTAGATGAACTAAAAGTTTTAAGTTGTCAGTTGCTAGTTGAGTTGACTTTTTTATGGTGTACCCTCCCTTACGAAAAAGAAGTTTATTCAAGTGTGCTATTAGTATACTTCTTTTAAACTAAAAATAGGAAAGTATACTTTTAGTCTACTTTTTATGTACTTCTCAGAAATGGGCTTTATGTACTTCTCAGAAATATACTTAAAATGACATTTAAGTATACTTAACTTATACTTAGAAAAGTCTAAATATATTTTAGCTATAATTGTGCTCCTAGAATCCGTGTTTTCATTGTTATACTGTAGGGGGCGCTAGTACCCATTTTCTGTACAGAATTTCCAAAAAACACAAGTGAAGAAGAAACCGAAACAACAGATGCTTCCACATGTATTCTAACACGATCATCAGACATAAATCAGCATCAAAACTATGTAACATTATGGAATAAAATGTCGACCAAAGAAGAGGTAATAATAACTGTCAAGCTTTGGGGTGTTGATCGACTCTTAGTACACTTACAAGTATACTACTAGTACACTGATATTTGTATACTTACTACATAAAGTATACTTAACAATATACTTGAACTTTACTTAAGTATACTTACTAAAATAAACTTGAAGTATACTACTTTTTGGTAAGGGCTGTGTGAGCAAAGTCTGTGTAAGTTTGGCATTTCTGGGGAAAAGAATATCCGCTCTGGGTCAAAAAGACATAAACACGGGGTTAAATGTCCTTGTGAATATACTTTGCTTTCAAAATGCATATTTCACTAAACAATCCTTTTACTCAGTTTCTTTGATCATTATTATTAGTAATAGCATGTATAATGGATGCTCTTTCTGTAAAATGTCAAACTGGTGACTAGTCAACCCATAATATTTTTAATCAATATATATATATATATATATATTGGCTTGGTTATTTTAATGTTAGAGAAAATATAAAAGGAATGTTCAATCTAATCATTTTGCAAATTTTGAATGTTTTCTGGACCATCTGAAACGAGTAAAAAAAACGTTAGATGAACGTCTAACTAAATGTTGCAGAAAAACGTTCCATAATCGATGTTTAAATAGTGTTTTTGGACTAACGTTTTGAGAACGTTATTAACAACTAAAACACTTGGAACAAGCGTTCTATTAACGTGCTGGAAGAATGTTTGTTCATAACTTGAGAGAACATTGCCACAACCTTAGCCAAAGTGATTTTCGGGTGCTTCTCTGTCATCAAAGAATATAAATGTGAATATGAGTCTAAATATTTCTATTGCAATATTGATTGTGTCTAATTAGAGAGAAGCAGCCAACATTAAAGTCACTTTATTAGGCTATTAAAGAACAAGTTGTTCTTTGCCAGAGGACAGTAGTTTAATGTTCAAATGTGCGCCTCACGTAGACCTTCTAAGAGCCACTTACACAATTTTATTATGCATTAAATCGGAAGATATCCCACATACTAGGCTATCAACGTGAATAGTCGGTGTTGCATTCATGAGCGCTGCTGATGTACTGCGTTTGGCCGTTAGAGGTCGCTACCGTGTGACGAGATTGTGATGACACGCTTCCGCGTCAAAACACGCGTCGTTTCCTGCTAAAGTTCAACGCGGGTTCTTGCTAACACGCAGAGAGTTTGAGATGACCAGGATAAATTCATTAGTTCGCCAATAATAACTTTATTAGCTACACATTCACTTGTTATTGTACTTGACAGCGCTCGAGTGAAGCTTTGCAAAGATGGGAGACGATCCGGACTCTATTCCAGAGAGAGAGATGAAGGTGAGACACCGACTGGTATGACTCATTCTTCTCATTATTATTATTATTATTATTATTATTATTATTATTATTATTATTATTATTATTATTATTATTATT